GCCGACGAGCCACGAGCTCGGCTCGTGCGAACACGAGCCGAGCTCGTTCGTCAATGGGCCGAGCCGGCTCGGCTCGGCCCATTGCCACCACTAGATGATTCAATCCTTCTTGGTTTAAAGAGTTCATTAGCTGGTTGGAGTGCAGTGTACAAAAAGATGCTGCTTATTGTTTTTATTGCTATATTTTCAAAACAAATTCTAGAAAGCAAGGTGGATGTGTCTTTTGTTGTTGAATGATTTACATATTAGAAAGATAAAAAATGCTTCATGCTCACGTTGGAATACATGATAGTGCACATAATCAAGCTCTCATTAAGTGTGAAGTTTGATGAATCAATAGCAATAAATTCAATCAGTTTTCTACAAGCAGTTAGGACAAGTAAGAATTGTATATGTTACCTGTCTTAATGTATGTATTGATTGTGTTCGACTTCTATTATAAATGATAGATTGCGTAATAGGATGGGTGATCGGTGGATGAATGATAACATAATTGTTTATGTAAAGAAAAATATATTTTTGAAACTCGATAATGAAGTTATTGTACAACGATATCAAGGTTTGAAAACTTGTAAGGAACAAATGTAATTTATAAACTATATTTTTTTTAGTATTTTCGTAATATTGTTTTATATTTTTATCATCATTAAATCCATGACTAAAAAGTCGACGTTCGGGGTCGACAAATTGTGCCCGCATTGAGTTAATTTACTGGCTCCGCCCCTGAACCCCATTAAAAATTAAATCTCCGTTTGACAAATTTATAAATGATTTATAAGCAAATTTATAAATTGTATTTATACAGGCTAAATCCGACAAAATCCTGATTCAAGATAAATTTTAATTTTGAAAATGTAATTGTCAAATTCATTTTAATTCAAGGAATCCGCTAAATTACAATCAGAGATATGACGGCTCGTTGAATATCTCAAATTATCCACGTGACGAAAATACTCTATTCATTATTAGTTTTCTCATTTCGGAATCTTCACAGAAACTCATATTCTTCGACCAAATGCGAATGCTTTGAATTCCACTTATATTTATTCGTGAACCTTTCACCTTCGTCAAATGTTTCAATCTCATAAATATATTTACATCCATATCTATCTTTCAGTTTGTCTCTGTCGAGCCTAAGAAAAACATCATTAAAAAGCTTCGATATTTGTAAGAATAAGAAAAATGATCTACGAAAATGGCGATTTTGAAGCTGACCTTCAGCTTCTTGAATCAATACAAAAACACTTGCTTGATGACTCTCAAACTCCGATAAGATTCTCCGGTGAAAATTATTCAGATGACATGTTTCTGTATGGTGGAGGCAATGATGCTGCAAGTGTAGGGTGGTTTCCAGCTATCTCCACCACTTCTACGGCGGTGCCAGCCGAAAGGGTTGGGGAGATGAATATGGAGAGGGTGGAGCCGTCGACGGAGGTGCCTAGGGTGAAGAATTATAGAGGTGTTAGGAGGCGGCCGTGGGGAAAATTTGCAGCGGAGATAAGGGACCCGTCAAAAAATGGGTCCCGAGTATGGCTAGGTACATATGAGACGGCGGAGGATGCTGCATTGGCCTATGACAGGGCAGCGTATCGTATTCGTGGTTCGCGTGCATTGCTGAACTTTCCGCATAGGATAAATTCTGGCGAGCCGGAGCCCATCCGTGTTACATTGAAGAGGACTTCAATGTCGCCGGATCAGATTTCGTATTCCAGTTCATCGGAAAATAGGGCACCTAAGAAGCGGAAGAAGGTGGTTGCGCCACCGGTGGTGCAAAATGGGTGCTGAGTGTATAGTTGTTATTTATATCTCGTTGGGCTCATTATTTTCTTCTTTCAATCACTCTCATATTCTTGGATCCGCCTGTAATTCAAATTCCAAGTAGTTTATATTTGCAAATTCATAATTTACTTTAGAAGTTGAGTCGGCCTTTCCTTTAAATAGTTGAATTTTGATGGATTTTTTTAAGGAGTAATGTTATTCATCCCCAGTGGGGATGAAAACACAGTTAAGGTGACTGTAAATGATACGTGAAATGAAATGTGAAATTAAATGACTTATTTAATTTCACCTATCATTTAATGCCATATTAGCGCTACCTAGACTGTGTTTTCATCTCCAGTGGAGATAAATAGCATTACTCTTTTTTTAAATGAGGTTCAAACTTAGGTCAACGGTCTCTGAATTTTATGACACATACCTCAAGACATTATGCAGTTTCATAGATTGATAAATGCGTTTTACACATTTATTTATAATCTTAAATTTACTTAATAGTGATTATTTAGACAAAATTATGAAATTGCAGAGTGGGTCCGATGGCTGTGTTCATCTCTATGTTCAAAGCTCCATCTGCCATAGTTGCAACAAAAATTGTCTCTCTAAAATAATTTCTCGTAGTACATCATTGGATATCAAAGATTAGGGGTGACCAAAAGTCCCGAACCGAACCGAACCGAGCGGTTCTTCATAAATTAAATACCCGAACGGGTACCCGAATCGAGAATCGATGGGTTTGGGTCAGGTCTCGAGTCTAGACCAAGAACCGAAACACCAAATAAGAACCGAAACTAAATAATTTTTTATTTTTTATATTAANTGATATTTGTATGTATTGAATTAATCTTATTGAACGGCTAATTATTTATATGTTTTTGAATTGGGCTACGTTAGTCTGTAAAAGTTACGAATGAAATGTCATTAGTTGTATTTATGGAGTGTTACTGTAAATATTAAAAACTTTGATTATGATATGGAATCAAACAGAACCGAACCAACCCGAAACCGAACCGAACGGAACCGAACCCGAATGGTTCCATAATTATATTTGGTCCCGACGGGTCCATTTATTAAATACCCGAAAGTTTTGGGTCGGTTCGGATCTCTTCAGAATCGAACCGAACAGACCCCCGGACAGCCCTATCGAAGATATCATGATAGAGAATGTTGTTATTGCTCTTGCTCGACAAGAAGTCCAACATAACTCAATATTCTGGACACCTTCTAACAAGTGGGCAAGAGTTGAAACAAACACAACCGATCTTTCTCATGAAGGCCGTCCAAAATTTCTGTTAAACTAACGTGTTCACAAATGATAAAAACTCCGGGTAATTCACAAAAACTACAAGTTTCAACACAAATGAAATATTCGACAACTTCCATAGGTGCTATAGGTATTTTTCGAACCTATGCCCAATAGTGTTCAAATTTTCTAAAAGAATATTATTTTGTATTTTTTTTAAAATGGATAAAACACTAGAATACAATATACAACCAAACACTAGGGATGGCAACGGAGCGAGGTCGGGGCAACCTCCCCCACCCCCGTTAGGCAATTCCCTGTCCCATTACTCGTTTAAAGCGGGGCGGGGCGCTCTGCCCCGATTACTACCTCGTTTTTTTTTAATAATAATTCCTCCATTCATTAGATTGAAACAATAATATATTTTTTAATCTTTACTTATTTTTAAAAGTTAAATTATTCGAATATATTTGGTAAATTAAGACTTATTGTTTGTAATTTTTTTAAATAATTTTAGTTGCCATTTTCTATTAGAACTAATGAAATTTCGTGAAATTTTCTATTTAAAGTATTGAATTCTAAAAAAAATTAAAAACAAATTAAACGGGGTAGGGCACTCGTCCCCCTCCTGCCCAGTTCGTGGCGGGGCCCACAAATATCGGGTTTGTCGAATTTTTTTGCCATCTCTACCAAACACGTTAAAATGTATGCATTCTTCTGCTTAGGCCATTAGTTGTAGGCGCTTTCCAGGGGTGGAAACTTTTAGTTCTATCTATTTGACTCGAAACCGATCAATATAGCCATGAGCAAGTTGAAGAGAGCTCTAACAGGTCTTGGAGGACCGAACGCAAGTATGTGGCATGCAAAATCAAAGAGAATAACTCTTGTTTTCTTCTTCTTGAATAGTAGTCTTCATTGTTGAAAATATTGTTCAAAGTTGATAAAAACAATTGTGGAATGAAAATCAATTTTGGAAGCCAAACTTGGCTATAAGCCAAGGTAGGAAGAGAACTATGCGGTTGCGTAGTGTTGAACTATGCGACCGCATAGAAAGCCAAAAGAGCCGTTAGTGACCGTTTTGTTCAAATTTTTGGTGGTTTTTGGAGGGTTTTTTGGCACTATTTCGTATGACCATATCTCTTGGCTATATATAGGTGGTTTGTTATCATTATAATGATGTTGAAAACATACAAAAACCATAGCTATATTCAAGAACAAAAATCATTCCAAAAAAACAAGAAATCACAATTTTCTTCATCATATTCAAATTCTTCTTTAGTGTTCTTCAAGTTTTGAAAAATTACACTTAATGCTTGAGTGATAATTCTTTACAAGACTTGTTTAAATCTTACAAACCATTTGCATTAATCTCTACAAACATTATTTCAATTCGAGTTGGGGCAAATATAGTTTGAGGACAGCGATATCATCTTCAAGCCATCGGTGTTTGTTTTCAAATCCATTTCCTGATTTGGTGTTTGGTTCGTTGTTTTCATTGGTGATCTTCATTTTTCTCGTTTTGATTTGTTGCTTTATTCTCCGATCCCTCGAGTGGAAATTATCAAATTTCCCAACATTCATTGTTTCTTTTTAAGAACCAAAAACATTTGTGTCAAAATAACATATGTCAAGAAAAACAGAAGGCTTTGGATGCGTAACAAATCTTGATATCTCGCCGAAGCGATGTTTTAATACCACGGCGAACAAGAAAACCAAATTCAAAGTTTTTTTTTTTTTTTTTACATTTAAATTTGAAGTTAAAACAAGAAAAATTAGAATTTTTTGATCATTTTTTTTATCTAACGCCAAACAAAACAAAATATAATAGCACTACACCTCAATCCACCTTATAAATGTCTACTCTAGTTTAGTCCACCTTAATACAGTTTTGTATGCTAAATGCAACATACTACAGACTGTCCTTGGAGCTATAGTCATCGGTAGCCTTTGAAACTATTGACAATTTTTTTGTAGGCAATACTAGACCAAAACTAGATAGTAAACAAACAGGATTTTAACATTTTTAACATTGTCGAGTATTATCTAATCCTACCAGACAAACATTGTAATAATGTAGGAAAATGTAAAAGCAAAAATCAATTCAAGGGTCTTAGTCTTAGTAATCAGTAATCAGTACTCAGTAGGACTAACAGAAGTTTCACATCCAGAATTGTCTTCCCCTTCAAAAATGATGTTATTAACTTGGACGAATCCATTGCTCTAGTCTAAGCTGCTTCAAAGGAGGCCCAAGCTCTGGTTTGTTCTTCTGAGGACAACGCCATTTTCCTTTAGTTTCTATTGCATTAGGATACTGTTGAAAATTTGTCGTCTCACACAGAACCTTTCTTGTTGTCTTAGCATCCTCATTCCGGTTATGTGAAAATGTTACCCCACTTCTCAAAGACTTTGGTTGGATTCTATGTGGCCTTTCAATATTCTCTCTATTCGTTTCACTGCTTTTGCTCTTTCTCGTTGAAATGAAACCATTTTCTGCAAACTCGGTTCCCTCAATATTTTCTTTTCCATTTTTTTCAGCCAGCTTTTTCATGGATTTTTGTTCGAGTATAGTCAAACTCAAGGTGCTAGGTTGCACACTTTCACAGTCCACTTGAAGATGTTTCTCTTTAGGGCTAATCTCAGAGCAATCCTTCCTCTCAATCAACTTCTGAAGAGATTTTCCATCCTGATTTTCAGAATTTAATTTCGTGTCCGAACTTTGGCAATCTGACTTTCCACTATAATCTCCATCATATTTTCTACTTACTTCCATTAAATCTTTATCATGATTCTGCTGTCTCTTTGGTCGCGAGATTTCTTGAGGTATCCTTCCAGAAGTCAAGTCTTTCAGTACGGATAAACTTAGCTTCCCAGCAGCTTGACGGCCATCCTGCAATTTACAAACAATTATTGGCTTCGTTCCATACTTGGAATTAGTGGTTGGTGAAGTAAATATAATGGTACATGGGATAGGTGCAATAAACAGTTGAAACAAAAACGTCTTGAGCAATAAAGTTGTTTTTTAGAAAGTTATAGCAAGAAAGAGCTGGTAATAGTTTTCTAAGTGCTGAATAATTATGGAGATGCCAGTTATTTGAAGCTCTAATCACAATCAACAATAGCAATATTCTATTCCTAATAAATTTGGAGTTGGCTACAACTACAAATCGATCTTGTGTATAATAAATTTAGGGTAGCTGCAAGAATCCTTTTTCACGAATCTGTTTGATCTAAAAGCCTGTCCAGATATTCAATGAATCAAATCTTTTAAAACCACATGACATGTTTACGAGATTATACTATTATAACTTGTCCAATACTGTTTTAGTTTTGAAAACAGAATAAGAATTTTCAGCTGCACAATTAAAATTTGAAATTTACAGTACAACTTCATAATTTCTTGAACAAACAACTGCTTATTGTTACTTTGCAAAGAAGAAAACCGAGCTTGCATAAACATAGTTGCACAAAAGAAGAGGAAGGACAAAGATTACCTCGCTGATAGGCCGCTGGTCATGCTCTTCCTCTTTAACCAAGCTGTTGCAATTAACAATCACAGCTGATATTCTTCTCTGGTTTAACAAATCACTTGATTTTCCAACTTCAGTGAAATTCCTAGGTTCATCTTCCATTTTGCTGTTGTCTATTTCAGCTACATATACCTTTCCATTAACTTCCCTTTCTTCAAAATCAGAAGTTGTAAAACTAGTATCATTTGTCGGTGAGGATTCGTACACATAGCTCGAGAACCAATTCTTAATGTTCGGAGGCTCTGCATGAACCAACAAAGGGACACATAAGCATTTTCAATGTACTGATGCCAAACCATGTTATTTTCAGTTGGTCAAAATAATGAAAAAAAAATAAAATTGGAACCTCAGAGGCCATTTCAAATCAAATCCTTGATCCATCCACAAGATTTCAAATTCTTGTTTTCATCTTTCCTAAGTGTTTTTTGCCACGTTGGGCACTTCAAAAAATAGTAAATGTCAAAAAAAGGCTAGCATACCTGAAAAAATTGATTGTGTATCTGAAGATACCGAGATCTACGAACAAAAATTATAGTTAGATATAATATTAGGGACAAATAATATCTCATTGTTTTAGAAAATACCCTTACCTATGCTCTACAAAATTAAGGAAAACATTCAATTCCGAGCATGTGAATATTGGCAGCAATTCTCGCCAACGATACAGTATAATATTGCACAGGACTAGATATTATATTAATCAACTCCTTGAGTTGAATCCTAGAGCTACTACCTACTAAACTTTCTTAATATTTATCTAAAATATCCTTTCGTTTTAGTTACTTCTTAGACACTTGCATCTTGGAAAATAAAATATATCAATTATAACTTAGACTATTGACTCGTATTCTTCAAGAATTGTGTCTTTTGAATGGTGCATCTATTGATGACATTTCTTCGTTGTTAAATTCAAATGGATCCTCCTACCAATTAAGAAATTATCGCAGAATCCTCCCAACTCTGGCTCTCTTACTTCTAGTTTTATAAGATGATGCTTGTTGAGTTTCTCTAGATGTACTACTAGAAAAGTCTTGATTGAACTTTTAACCTATACTCAACTTGAAATTCAGATCAAAACAAGGTATCATTTTGTCAGCGTGAATCGAGAGAGGTTTTACGCGCATTGTTTTATTGTCTTTAAAAAAAATTTGAGTATTGGCACACAATATTCTCCATCTCTACTAGATTTAAGTGTCTTCTGCCTTTTGCTTTATACAAAGTTTAGTACACCTAATCCTTAGTTTTTAATCAAACGTAAAAATAATTTTTTTTCATCTAGAAACATCACAAGATACTTATTACCAACTGCAGTTAGAAATATTTCGAACTCATTTACAGTACAATGAGTTATAAGATACTTATGTTCTATTAATAAAAAGATATGGATATTGTGCTTGCTTTGCTTGGATACAAATTTAAAAGTTGCAGCACGTATACACAGTATTTGGAACTAAGATTGAATCCATAAGCCTCTTAACCTTGTTACTTACATGTCTGACATAACACATTAAGAATATGATTAATTGCTCCAAATTCACAGCACTGCTCTTCTCGGTTTATTTGCCTTCACCCTTCCTAGAGTCTAGAATTTTATATTGGACACTAATGTGAAGGCTTACTCTTCCTATATAATCATTCTTGTTGTCTTAATCTTAGTATCCAAAGACTTGAACTCATTTTTGTTCTTTAGAATTTTCCAATCTTCCTCTATGTTAACTTTTGCCTCCATTCATCTTGTTTTACTATTGGATTTTTATTGGTCTTGCTTGAGTAATAAAAAATTACTCTAGGTCTAAAGAGCATCTCCAAAATAGTAATTTTTGTTTTAGAGAGCATATTAATGAATATTTAAAAATAAAGAGTGGAACTTTTTACACAAGTGTAACACCACTTCATATTTACTCTTCAATTGAATGTTTCAATAAGCAATTATGGTTTGACCTTGTCCCTCCTTTTTTTTTTTTTTTTTAATTTTACCTAAATTCCCTCTTTTTTATGGTATCATTTCTCCGTATTTTGAAAGAGGTGCATGAAAAATTGTGAAATAATAAATGAAAGAATTAAAAGTATTAAATAGAGAGACGGAGATAGCGCCAAATCCACTCTTTTTAATTTTACATATAGAAAGGTTGATGGACCCCAACAAAAGAGACCACTCTCTAAAATGAAGAGAATGAGGCTAAAAAGAGGCTTTTGGAGATGCTCTAAGATTGCTAAAGGTCAGAAATTCTATGAAAAACGACTTACTTGTCATTCCCAAAATTTCCACTCTTCCATTTCCAAAAATAATAATACCTCAAACTGAAGCAATGATCTTTGACAAGTTATTATTCCATATGCGTGAACATCTTCGTGAATTCTATTATGATACAAGGTGGAAGTGAAGTTCTTATAGAGAAAACAAGAAAGGCATGTTAGTAGAGTAATTTTTCCTCTTATGACAAACTCTAATGTTGTTGTCAATCAATGATGGTAGCATATGGCATAGCCCCTCTCTTTCCTTATTTATAGACTTTATCAGGTGTTGCAATTTTAGCATGATCTTGCAAGCGCTCTTTAAATTGAATGGGGATTGAAGCCTTGAGAATCAGAATGGAACGAAAAATCTGTTAGAAAAGATGAAATTATGGACCAAAATGAACAGAACAGAAAGACGAGGACTAAAGAAGAAAATAGCCAAGAAATGGAAAAAACGTAATATACCAAAGTAGCGACTCTAAATGGAGGGAGAAGAAAGCTACAGTGTCACTACTCCAAACGGCCAAACGGATTCTCCATAGCTGCTCCACCATCCTTTATTCCAGGGATTTTCATATCTCCGTTGTACAATTAGTTAGGGTATGTTGTTGGGTGTTTTTTTGTTTTAATCCGTGTGTATAAATCTTTGAATGTGGGTCTCTGTAATTTGATCAATTTAGTAAGCTTTCTATATTGAATTCATCTTCTTCAAGTATCCATTTTCTATCTAAATCAGCTATAACCATTAGTCTGTTTGCCATTGGCATAAATTGTAGATTACTGAAGTTTTATCCACAAAATCCACTCTAACAAAGAAATCTAAATGAAAGAAATTTTCTTTTCATTCCATCATAGCACATTAATGAAGAAAAATGGAAAAGAAGTCATTTCAGTTACCTCTGCTGCAGATTTAAAATCAGAAAATTCACGGGGGTCATTTCTCTTAGTGAAGACATAAGAAGACCCCTTCTCTCCAGCAATAAAAGCATGATTTTGTTTACCATCCGATCCATTTTCACTTAAGTTGATATCTTTTTCATTTGCAGAATCATTTACTCTGGATCCATCACAGTCTTTGAAACCTTCTAAAGTATTTAATTCCAGAGATTCATATGCATAGCTTGAGTACCAATTCTGAATACCGGGTGGCTCTATAAGAGGAAATAAAGAAAAATCGAATCAGTTCAATTTTTACCGGATAACCTTCAAAAAAAAATCTTCATTGGAATGAATACATGGAATATAAAGAGCTCAGATCAGAAATTGTACGAACCAGTAAGAAGGGAAGCCGAGTCTAGAGAACGTAAAACCTTCAAATAGAAAAAGAAATTGTAATGAAAGATGAGATTTAGCTTCTAATAATACTGGTGCTATTATTTTTAAAAAATTTCCAGGTTTGTTTGAAGCCAATATGTCAAAATCATGTGTGTCTAGAGGAGTGATTCTTGAATTTAAACTGAAAATTGGATTTTAAAAAATCAACATTTGACTAATTGGGTGAATCATATGTAATTTTTTTCCTCCAAACTTAAATTCAATTATGCTTTGCAAGTCTAAAATCCAACACAATCTTCATAATATAATGCAGCCCATATGAAGTTAAGATCAAATTACCTCTGATTCAGAATCTTCTGATCCATCACATTTACTGAAGCCATAAGAAGATCCCATATCTCCAGAATTAATACATTTTCCCACCATCCCATTGTCAATCAATTTACCTTCCTTTCCATTTGCAATATAATTTATTCTGGATTTAGGACCATCATAATCTTCAAAATCATCACGATTATTCAATTCTGGAGACTCGTAAACATAGCTAGAGAACCAGTTTCCAATATCGGGTGGCTCTGTTAACAGAGAAAAGTTAAAACAGAAGAAAACACCAAATCAAATTGATTATTTCTGAAAATAATTAAAGAACTCCTCAGAATAAGAAATTTTGCACGAACCAGAAGGAAGCGAAGAATCCAAAACCTGCAAACAAATAGAAGATTTAGCTTCTAACAATACTTGGTCAGTGAAAAAAAAAAGCCGTAAATAAAAGGAATTTGAAATCAATTAAGAAAAGTGAGCATCGAAACAATATGTAAGAACTTGGACCTGAGAATTGGTGGGGTTAAGCTCTCGTTGTGAATGATTTGACATCTCTCTGCCTCTCTATTCTCCCCCACGCCTTGCTTCGGTATTTCATGAGACTGTGAAATGGCGCCATAATATAATTTTTCAATTTTCCCAGGTTCATTTGGAGCCAAAATTACTAATTAGTCAAAAGAAAAATTGCACCATTACTGCCCAACCTATTGACTTAGTAGCAAATGAGTCCTCATCCCATGAAACCAGAAGTCGCCCCCTCCAGAACTTTCAACTCAACCTTCGAGCCCACCGTTGTCGGAACTGCTTGAATTGTTGCAGCAATTTGAGTTCACAACAAGCAAATCACGCATTTGCTTACCAGATCGAAACACCTTCGAATTAGTCCAAATGTCTCGCAACAAGTTCTACAAGATTAAAATCAATTTCGTGTATGTGGGTCCCAATGTGAGAATTTACTAAGAAGGTGTCTGGTATTGATTTTGGCCAAATGTTAATTGCTTTCCTGACCGTTAGTGGGGCCCGCACCACTCACAGCCGATCAATTGTTGCGGCTGAAATTGATATCAACGGTCAGAAAATGAATTCTGGTGGCCATTTTAATGGCCACCAGACAGGCCCTAAGAAGAAAGTAAGACAACAGCAGTGGGCCCATTTTGCATTGGCTACGGTCGAATAATTAATTAAAATCAGGATGAAAATTTTCTCCCAAACAGGCTTCTAAGGTTTCACTCTTACCATTTAAACTAATTGTTGACCTTAAAAACAACGCTCATTTTTAACTAATCTCATTGTTGAGTTCACAAGTATTGAACAATTATCCGTGTAAATATTATTTTCCATTTCTACGATTACAAATAAAACCATATTTTCCCAAGCCTCCATTTGAAACATTGATTGATCGTAGTTTTATGACAACAACGTTTGTTCTTTGTTTTAGTCAAAGGGATCAAAATGTCTCATTCTTTGTTTTAGTAAGGCTTCGCTCTTTCGACTTAATTTTAGCCCCAATAATAACGTTTATTTTTATAGACAAAAAATTTTTAATCTATGTATTAAGTATAACATTTATTTAAAAAATAGAACAAGATTGAGTATAATCTCATTATTAAGTTCAAAAGTATTGAACAAATATCAAAATGTACATATTATTTCCTATTTCTAAAATTATATATATAAAAAATCGTTTGGCAAAATTCATAAATTACTTATAAATGGTTAAATTTGATTTTCAACCACACGTTTCAATAATACATAAGCATTATTCACTTATCTATAGTTCATTTTTATTTATTTATAAATTAAATATTTTATAATTCTTCCTAAACGGATAAATAATTTTTATTGAGAAAATGCACTCTGATCGAGTAATGACTAGATCACCATCAACTTCAAAGAAATTTCCAGAATTTTGTGACTGCTTCACCTAGTATCTTAATTTCATTTTTGCTTCAGCAATCATCCATAATTGGCATCAAGTTGGAGAAGGTCCTAGAAAAGTTAAATGTATTATTTCCACCGCTACGTGTAGAGAATTCTAGAATTGCCAATATGAAGGATTATCCAGAAAATTGTAGTCGACAATTCACTGACTTTCACTCACATATATACACACATATTCAGTGTACTATGAGTGTGTGTGAGAAGAAAAAAGGCGTGCAGAAAGACAAAGATAAATGCATGTGAGAAAAAAAATTGCGAGTGATGAGAGTTAAAGGTGTGTGTGAGAGAGTTGAGTGCTAGTGAAGTTGTTCCTATTTTGAGTAAATTAAGGGCATATTTGGACCATATTTTTAATATAGAATACATTTTGTAATAGTAGATTGATGGAGAATGTTGTTCATTTTTTTCTTATTGAGGATACCTTCCTCCTTTTTTTAGGGAGGGATAAACATGTATACGTCATGTTCTTATCTTATCAGCTACAGTATCGAGCTGGGAACTCGTGTCAATGGCTTGTTCTGGTTGGTTTCTGTCAAATCGATGTACAGCACTGAGTTGAGAAGGTATGTTAATGGCATATTTTGATTGGTTGATAAGGTTGGCTCCAGCAAGTCATCATGAATCCATCTTGCATGTGACCCCCAGTAATTAATGAACTAATTAGGGAATGAAGCTATAACATATGATTGGTAAAATTAGGAAGTGTTATCACGAGTCTATCCAAATGTAATTGATTGATTAGATGTTGGCAATGTGTAAGAAATCTTCAATCATTTTGTCTCCTCAATAACGACGGTCATTAGTACGAACTGACCTCAAATACCCGACCTTAAATTAGCATGAGCTTAATGCATATAACAAATTGTATTTAACGAGATCACAGGTTGAATATCAACAAAACTCAACAATTCGGTATCAAAGTAAAACGATTGCGGTCAAATTTTTGAACTTTTGGAGTTTGTGCACAAAGTGTGATTGTGAAAAGCTTGCTTAATAACGATGAGGTTATTCAAGTTACGATGGAACAATCAATAAGTGGTAGGCAGAGTGAGATGCTCAATAACCAAAATTATATCCAAGGTAAACTTGCGTAGGAACAGACCTGTGGAAAGTAGTTCGTGAAAGTGACGTAACACCATAAGAAGAAGTCATAGCTCTGAATGAGTGGAAAATTAAAGTAGGCAAAGCTATGTTTTCCATAAAGACAACAACTGAAAAAAGAATTATTGGAGTACATAAAAGACCAGATCGCGTTAAAGAAGCATGGGACTTTTTCGTAGCAATATTCTCAAAGAAAAATGATTTGAGAACTTCTTAAAAATAAGCTGCTCTCTGTCGCTTAATGAGAAATGACGGTAAATCAATATTTTAACAAAGTTAACCCCTCTATCGTGAGATTTCTAAATTAAATTTTAAAATCTAGAATAAGAAGAATAATTATACATAAATTGAGATCAAAATTTAGAGGCTTTATTGATGTCGTACAACGTTGGCCAGAGCAACCCTTTTGATAAACTTTGAAAATTTGTTGGCCGATCAAGAAGCATTTATCAGGCAAATATTATGTGACTCAATAAAGAAAGAAGAGAAAGAAGCGTTATTCAGCTATAAAAGAAGAGATCAATTCCGTCAATAAAATAATAATCAAATAAGGGGAGCTCAACAAAATTGCGATAAGAGAAACCAGCTATCTAAGGGATATCAATGAAATAATGGCTTGTGTTTTGTATGTAAAAATGAGGCCATTATACTAAAGATTGCTTATTTAAAAATGAGCCAATGAAAGGTAATGTAACAATCTTCAACAAACAATAGAAATATAATAATTAAGAAGAATAGAATGTTGAAGCATCCAAGATGGTAATTAAAATAGCTCAAGAGACGAAATCCAATTTAAGTCTAAATGATTAATCAACATTATTAGTGGTCCTTTTTGGACCAATGGATTACGAAGATAATTGGTTGATGACTCAGGAGAGGACAACGTATTTTATAAAGAATCTCCTTGGGAGACTCAGCCATAGAGAGGAACAACCAAACTCAAAAGGAAAGGTTTTCGAAGAAGAGTATTATTGGCAGACACCGTAGAGGATTGGAACTAACAAATTTGACTTGAGAAGCGTCTCGCTACTCGTTCAGTTGAGAAAAAAGCATTTACTAATAACTGGTCTAATAACAGGTTAGAAGAGAAGATGCCACACCAATCAATGAACAAGAGCATGCAAAGAACCCCTTGGCAAGATGACGTGTACCAAAAAAACACTAGAAAATGATCGATAGAGTCTTCAAAAAGATATTGAAGTACGTACAAATTTACAACCACAAATAAGGTAATCAAGTAGAAATGAGAAATCAAGTATCAATTATCCTAATCTAAAAATCAATGAAGAAGAAAGTTCAAAAGCTGGATATATTTGAAGTGGTAAGACATTTGTACTTCAGACATCAAAAGTACGTGTATAGAAAAGACTTTGAAAACGCTTTCAACAATCTGACAACCGCATCATCGGATGAAGATGTGGTGAATCTAGGTGTCCTTTATCTGATTTCGAGCTTCCTTTATACCACCACGGTGCAAATGTTGTACCATTTGAATACCTATGCCTCGCTCAATCTCTACAGATGGATACCTTTTCAAAGGGAAATGAATTGTTCAGGGTTACATATAAGTATCTGAAGCTCGCTTTTGACAAGGAGAACCCGAAAATTGATGATCTAAAGTGCATAATGTCATGGAGACTTCATGGGTTCCCTCTTGCTTTCCAGATATGGATATACGAGTCCATTCCAATGTTGTTGGAAAAGTTCGTACAAGTGTCAACCACACAAACCCTCACATTCTAAATGGAGCAACAATGGTTCACGTATATTATCTGCATACCTCGATACTATACTATTTAATGTAGCTAAGGTAACAAATTTATTAATTTGCACTCATATCAACAAATTTTACTTTAAAAATTCCAATTTATATATAATTTTCAAGTTAGGAATACGCCGGTTGATTAATATTTGCAGGTTGAAGTTGTGATAATCAAACCCTCTGAAAAAAAATGGATGGCATCTTACTATCAGGGGTTAATTGAAAGGAGACGCATTACCATACCATCAACAATTGCCCGGAGCTGACCTTGTGAATGATAAAATCCACCAAGCGGTAGATTATAAATACGCGAGTTTATCTAATCCTTATTTCATGCCATGAAACCACAATATGGCAAACCATGCATCAGTAATGAGAGAGCTTCGAATCAACTGTCATATTCATTTATTATTATATATCTTCAAATTCATAATTTACAAATCACCCATTGAACGCTCATTCCATGCAGCCACACATAATCAGAGTTCTAGAGGATCTTATGACTTAATTTTTTTAGCTTTCGTGGATTACAAGTTCAGATTGTTGGTTCACAATCGGAACTAAAGGCCGAAGTTAATCATATCGAACAAACACTTGAAACAAACTATCAGACACTTTTGAGAATGCTTCTAAAGGCAAAGAAGTCTGTAACGCATGCTACAAACCAATACGACAGTAATGTCAATGAATCTAATGAAGCAAAGACAACAAACAGGAAGGTAAACTAATACGAATAATTATTCTATGT